TCTCTCTCTTTCTCTCTCTCTCTCTCTCTCTCTCTCTCTCCCCTAAGTTTTAAACCTCCCCTACGCTATCCAAAAGGAAAATAAAATAGTATTGGCTGGAGTTGGGCTTAAAAGTGTCCACAGACATGAGAAGATTGTGTTTTAATTAATTTCACATATGTTGTTCTTATCAAGTGACAGGAGCCACTGCTAAACAAAAGATATAATTGTCAAAATAAAATATTTCCACCATCCAGTGCCTTGGAAAGTGTTCATCCTTCACCACTTCATAGTTGTTCTGTGTCAATATCCTATGTGCTGATTTAACAATTCAGAAAGCAATTTGTAATTACCTGGTGTGAATTTTTCTATAAGTTTGACAAACTTAGGCAGATCCTACTGGAAAATGTCTGAAAATATAATTAAAAGCATCATACCACAGAGAGTGCTAAATGTCAGTCAACTACACATTTTATTTATTCTGTATTCAGAAATAATGAGGGTCCCAATTGTTACAGCACTTTGTGTGGTTGCGATGGTCTCGGCTGCGGAAAAGAATGATTGCATGAGTTCCAGCACAGAAAAGGAACGCACATGAAAGCGAAGAGGAAAGTCTTTATCTGATTGCCAAATACTGATGAGTTCTAATGTGCTTGTCTCACAGCAACACTCAGCCCAGTTACTGTTCTGGCTCTGAAGATAGGGGAAAAGATGATCGCTAAAGGGGAAGTGTGCATATGCAGGTTTGGTCATTGTCTCAATGAATATCTCTGCCATTCAAAACAGTTGTCTTTTCTGCCCCTGCCACAGTCCTGATAGGAAAATCCAACATTGTGTTGCTTTTTGAAAAAAAAAAAGTATTTAGTAAACTTTGTAAGACACTACCATCCACTGAAACAGTAAATTATATTGGTTATTGTAGAAAAAAAAATACAATGTATACATACCTGATGGAGCCTATCTATAAACAAAAGGTGTGTTTTTCCATTTTGATGTACACATGTAGGGGAAATATATTAAAGCAGTAAATTCAGCATTCTAATCCATTGCTTACCAGAGGAGATGACTTATTTGAGGTTTTTCGCTTTTTCATGATCACATGATTGGTGTAGTAACTTTCAGAATCAAGTTTGCATATTTGAATACTACATTTCATTTCTGGTCAAGGGGGTTTTCACTTCACTACCCGTCTACATAATGGTGCCCATTCAGTATTATACACAATAACCATTTTTTTCAACAAAAAAATGACACAGTAAAATGATTATTCCCTTTTCTCAAGATGAAAGAAACAATACATCACTTGGCCACAAAGAGATTTCTTCATCCAATTCCAGAACGTTTTGGCAGTAACTGGTTTGTGTCTAGGGTAGGCACAATGGTGACATAACTTGGGATTTTAAAATCAGATGAAAAATGTATCAGCTAGGATGAAAGGGTTTTCCTGTTGTTTTCATTGGCTTTTATATGCATATACATTTTACCTGGCAGTGATAAAATAAAGATTTTTTAATGATCAGATCTTTTACCAATGAATGACTACTATTCAATGCTTTTTGGTAGGCAAATCCCCTTTATAATTTATGTACATAAATTTGAAATACAGTATGACTGTATGTCCTAATGTACTTTAGATATTCAAATGGATAATATTAGGAAAGCTGAACCAAGTTTAATAAAAGGTTTCATATTTAACTCCAGCAGTTAATGGTACAGTGTACCAACACTTACATTGTTGAATCCTGATTGGGATTTGTACTCAAGTTTTCTTCAGTAACATCAAGCACAATACTATGGGCACAGTTTAATGCAGCTCACCATACAGCTGTTAAACAAAGTCATTCTATATGTTAGACACACAAGATCTAACCAAATTATGATACAAGCATGGCCCAACAGGTGGTGCAGAAGTCATGAAGCAGATAAAACAGTGAAAGAGGACAGGTTTTCCACTGATTAAAGAGACATTCTTTATAGATTGCATTTTGGTGAGATATTTTAAAACGTGAGTTCAGAACATTGCTACCCAGGAAGCTCTAGGGATGAGCTTAGGCTCCCATGTTCTATTCAGGCCTTCAGCCAACGGGAATCTAATCAATACAGACAGACAGACACAGACTGGGAAAATGAGAGCAGACAAATAATAAAGCAGCGGGTAAGGCTTACTTTCTACTTTCAGTGGGCCCAGAAAATAGATTCCAATTTAGCTTTTAAAAATGCATATCTATTTTTTATTTCCAATAAAGTAAGGGGTGGGTTAGGTATATTATAAAAAAATATATGGTCACCAAGCTCCCTTGCACTTATGCCACTCAGTTGTCAGACTATGAGGAATACATTCAAAACACTTTATTGATGACCACATAAAACCAACTATGCTGAGCTTTCTGATTAAAAATACATGTTTGTAATATAAATTATATATTTATGATGTGTTGGGTAAAGATTACTATCTGTTGCTTTATATTCTGTATTTTTGGACATTTATGCATTGTACAGGGCATGCAACGTATTTGTCATTAACTACTTCAAATAGTAATGATTTCTGCTGGTTCTTAAATGGATACGTATTTTCCATTGTTCTATATATGCATATGCTAATGCTAGTGAAAGACTAATACAGGGCAATTTTTTTTGTAAATTATGCACATACGGTATATTATTAAGATGATTATTCTTGTTCTTTTACAGCTAACTCGAGTACCAGTAGAGTCCTGTGGTCAGTATACCACGTGCAGTGATTGTCTTGGCTCTGGAGACCCACACTGTGGTTGGTGTGTACTTCATAACATGTAAGTACAACTTTTTATGTTTAACATGAAAGCTATGACCATTTTTTTAGTTTGTATACATTACCTAGTAGAATTAGTATCAGACATCTATTAAATGATGAGCAAAACTGTTTGTCCAAACTAAGATTCACAGCACACTAGGCCAGTTGTTAGCTACAAATCACAAGTTGACGCCACATACAATCGGATCCACTTTATGGACTAGAAGAATAATATGGACCCATTGCCTGTCCAGGTGCCATTTACAGACTCTTAGGGGGTGATTTACTAACCTAAACACACGCACGCACTAGGTGCGTGTGATTTTTACACAGCAAAATGTATTTATCAACCAAAAAGTCTCTAAAAGCATATTTCCACTAATGCCATATATGGAAAAATCATGCACATGATGCACATGATGCATATATAATGCTGCTTCACAGTTTAGACAAAAACGGTTAGCTCATGCATTTACATTCCTGCATTCATCAACGCAAGCAACACAATGTAGAGCTAATTTACACAACATCACCTTGCAATTCATGCAGGACTTTGCACAACACACCTGCTAGGTGTGTACACACTACAAAGGTGTCTAGATTCCACCAATAGATCATGCTGGGAGGGAACACACTACAAAGGTGTATACTTGTTTGTGGCGTGTTTATAAGGTTAGTAAATCAGCCCCTTAGACTGAGAGTGTGTAGGTTTCAGTGGGAATCACGCTCTTTTTTCAATGGGGATTGTATCCTGCATAAAAGCAGGATCCCCATTGGATCTGGATGAAAAATGTATTTGGGGAAAAGTGTATATATAACAGGTAGATTGTGAGTATCTGCCTAACAAAGCATTTTCTTGTCTGTTCTTTGCCACCCCTACATTTAATTCAACTTGTATTTTACTGTGTGTTTATTTATGGAGCAAAAAGGACATGTTAGAGAAAATAATAAGTTGCTATGCTACATATGCCAGCATCGGGCTGCATTCAGTACTATTCAAGGTGCAGAGTCATCCCAGTATGAACTATATGGATGAATACACCTTTTGTACACCAGGTGTTTTGGAAAATTCAGCAAAAGTCAGGAATATTTGACAATCTTCCTTATTGTGAGTCTCTAAAGAAAAGAGCCTATGCATCCTGTATTTCTAAACCATTTTAAAAATGAGTAGTAGAAAGCAAAGCTCATGTGCCTGCATAGAGCAGCAACTCTGCTTAAATTAAATTTTTCACACTGGCAATTGGGAAACAATCTGTGAGCTCCTGGTATATGCATCAAGCACCCCTTTTTCATCTGTGTTGTACAAGCTCTTTATTTTCACAGCACAGTATTATGAGACTAATGGAAGCTGACATCTGATTAACTGCTTTGGGTTGCTGCACATTACTACTCTTTGAACTATTGAGCTCATGTATACAAAAAGAACAAAGATAATAGAATTGTCGCACATAGCAACCAGTCACATTCCAGACATAATTTCTCTGGGTCATGTCAGAAGGTGCAAGCAAGTATAGATTATATGAATTTCATAAAGGTGCTAGACAAAATAGTAATCTGTGGCACTCAAAAATTGTATTGATTATTCTTATTTTATTATTTGTAATAAGGCATATTTACAAGCAGAGACATTCAATATGCCTAATAAAGCGATTTCTAACAAGGTCCCATTAATGGCACATACAGGAAAAATTTAATTAAAGCTTCTTATATTCTGAAGGGAACCTTTTCTTTGTGGTGCTTCTGCTGGGAGAATTCACACAGATAAACAATATATTAATTTCAAATGGAATTGTCTTCTGCTGAAACAATTCCACCCGTGGAGCGATATATATTAAGTACAGGTCGGGTGCCAACATTATTATAAACTGACATAAAAAATTTAATTATAATTAGCATTTAAATAACAGACGAGTATACCTGAGGATGTGAAATACAAATCAGTTTATTTTGGTTGTCATTACTATCACTTTGATGGATGATACAGTTTGTGAAAATGAAATATTTAATATATGATCCTAGAGAGCTTGTTACTTCCAAAATTATACATGAGCTAAAACAAACCCATCTGAACATTCAGTTTGCTGTAAATCGGCTAAATATATTCCAAGTGCATTAAAACAAAAGGTGTACAAAGTTTTAGATTATGTTTTCTATAGAAAGCAGTCACAGCCTAAAAAGTAAAGTAGAAAAGCCTGTCCCTTACCAGCATACTAAAATGAAGGACCCTTTCTCTCTGTTTGGAAGCAATGGTCTCTCCTCAAAAGGTCCAACACGCCTAGCTAAATCACTCCACTTATCAGATATGCTCCCTGCTGATTGCAGAGCTATAGGTCTGGCTCATCAAGGAACAGAGAGACCATTGCTTCCAAATAGTGAGCAATGTTTCTCCTCTACAGCTTGCTGTCAGGAGACAGTCTTTTCTACTCAAGCTGTAAATGCTTTCTAAAAGAAAATAACTAAGATTTTGCACATCCTTTGTTTTGATGCTTATAGAATGTATATAGCTGTTTTAAACTAAAGGTTTACTGGGTTTTAATGCAGCTCATGACAATATACCGCTGTCATCCATAGCAGCTAGTCAAAAAATTTACTACATTGAGCTGACTAATGGACACAAGGAACTTATAATTTGAGAGGCAATTGTTTTCAATTTATCTCATTGGCAGTAAATAGAAGATACGGCAGCTTGAGCTGTGAAAATTGGAGGTGGTGACTGGATACAATGATTAGTGCATTATGCACTTGTATCTCTTTGTGTATGGAAGCCTTTGGTTTGATGACACTGGATATAAGCATGCATTATGCAAATGTAACAATATAACATATCTAAGCATTGCTTATTATAGCTATCATATTTGTTAAACCATACTGTCTTTCTTACTAGAACAATTTTCTGATTCTTGCAATATGATAGTGTAAAGAGACTCTGCAACTGAGCCCATTTAGGGCAATGTGTCAGGTTCTCTTAAAAGAGTATTGCCCCTTCCCAGCCACTGATGCTCATCTTCCCTGATGCTTCATTGCAGTATTGAATATGTATAGGTCTGTGTATTTTCTGAGCATGTACTTAAGGTTTTGACTGAGCAATGAAGCCACAGGGGAGTGCACTGAAGGTGAGTATTAGTGGGTGCATGGGAGATTTTCTTACAAGATAAACAGTAACCTTGCTCTGAAAAGATAAATACACAGTTTATTTAACTATACATTTCTTGTGCTTGCTAACAACACATGTATGCATTACCTGCTTGCTGGATACACATCATTACTGAGCAGTACATTATTTTTTATTATTTTAAATAAGGAAAAACATTATACAACCTGAAATAAAGCACCAACCATCTTTAAATACAGAAGACAAATTGCCACACTATGTTATAAAGGGTTTACGTTATTAGTTTGTTGCTTCTTTCCTTAAAGTTTGACCCAAAGAACAAAGGATAATCATAAAAGCCTAAAAAGGATATCTGGTAAATGGGATTAATATGGGAATTAAATGCAGAAGCAAGCTTCTCTCTTACACACAGCCATTGGAGAAGGTTTTTGCATTGTATAAAAAAAAAAAAAACTTCTTTAGTTTTACAACTTTTACTGTGATCAATGTGACAAGGCATCCCAATGATCACAAGCCTCAGGGACCATTGCACATGGATTCTGAGTCTAGTCTATTACTTAAATAGCCTAGTGACAGCAGCTATTACTGAATTCAGGTGTACTAGATCACACACTCTAAGGAATTAATGAACTATTTAGCTACACTAGACCTTTTATCCAACATATATATTATTGTACTTGTTATTTTGAACATCCACTATAAAGGCATGTGGGTTTAACTATACATGTTTACATATTTATTTGTCATGGTCTGTGTAACTAGTAGCATTGCAAGGGTGTGTCCTTCCCCCACATTGTTTGTACTGAAAGGTGTCCCTCTTTCCCATCTCAGAAAGTTACAAGGTGTGCGCACTCACTGCCACAAAATAATGCATATGAGCTGCACCGTGCCAATAAGTACCTTCACCATTCTGAGAAGCATTTTGGCACCTTTTGAAGAGACAAGGAAAATGGTGAGCCATGAAGAGGTGGGAATTAGTTATACAATCTATCTCATGTTACTACTTGAGCACAAACTCCATGGCTTGATAGACCAGGCATTGTAGGCACAGAAGCAGGAGAAAGAGGAGGACATGCTGATGTCTCAGAGCTAGCAGGATCCTTTGCCTTCTGCCTCCATCCATGTGAGGCAGGGGCAGCAGGAGGCAGAGGAGGAATACAAGGAGAAGGAGGGTTGGGGTTCTGGCAGTAAGGTGAAGGAAATAGGGCAGGCTTCAAGGGGCCATTTTCCCCCTCTCAAACCCTGAATGCTCACATGCCTGCACAAGAACCCCAGAATTCAGGTAATTAAAGAGAGGGAACATTGTTGGCTGGTCACCCTATTAGATCCTCGATACAAGGATAAAATTGACAATACATTGCCACCATCTCCGAAGAAGCCCAAAATTCAGCATTTTCAGGAGGTGCTGTATGAAAACCTCCTTGCCTCATTTCCTGATGGTGGTAGCATCCTCTCTGATGACCAATGTGCCTCTGATCCCCTTATAGAATAGCAGAGGTTGTGACAGTTGCCTCAGTACTGTTATTAATACTTTTTTTAAATACAGCAGTCAGGCAGGACAATAGGAAGCTGGCACAAGCAGCACCTGAACTACCTGATTCCTGATTACATGGTATCCGGTGATCCTGCTTCTAATTCTACAGACTTAACTTTTAGTTGCTACCCAGCATAATCAAGCTGCTTATACACTGTCCAGCCACAGGAACAATATTTATGGCTGTTTTCTCAAATATTACACTCTAATGTGTATTTCAAGATAAAACCTGCATCATCTGTCCCTAATATTTTGCAGCCTCATCAAGCTGCTTACATACTGTCTAGCTGCTGACCAATATCTGTGGCTATTATCCTTCAAATAATACACTCTACTGTTTATTTCAAGATAATACCATCCTTACTTCTCCCAC